AATTTTGTCTATACAGAATATATTTAATATTTCTTTAAAGCGATACATTATTAATACGAGAAATTAAAGAAAAATTAATATGTTATTATATATGCAGATTAGAAATTTAATTTATTAGGACATTTGAAATGCAGTCTCCGTATATTTTATATAAATACCTGAATCGTGTTTCTTAAATATTGCTTCTTTTTTTTTATATATAAATGTAATAATTCTATTGTTGTCTAGATAATTATCATAAATTTTTAATTAAATTAAAATTTGTAATTAAATAAAAATTCATGATTTCTAAAAATGTTGTAATTCTTCAAATTTAGATCATTAAGTGTTCGGAAAAAAAGATATAATTTCATTTATTTAAAAATTAAAAATGCTATCAACACAAATCTTGAAATTTTAGTATTAGAAAGGATTTGTGTCAAATTTGAATTTGGTTATTTTATTTATCCGTGATATAAATAATATTTTTTTATTATAATAACTACAATCCACGTTATAAAAAGTATATAATAATTAGATTATTCTTCATTTAATTTTTATGTATAAATATAAATTCAATTAAAAATTGTTTGTTCTTCATATGACAAGGTCAATGTTTATTATTAATTTTATTTACTACTTCGCTATATGATTTTTTGTATTTTTAAATTAAATAGATACGCAGTCTAAATGAAACGAGCTATTTATAATTCTGAAGCCAAAAGAAAATAGGAAACGAATGTCTTATAATATTCGGTAGCTCTTTTTTACCAATTTTAGTATAAAAATAAAATTTATTTTATAACTATACAAACTCACCTTTCTATCACCACGTACAAATGCTTGGAATATTCATTAATATAATTTATCACAAAAAAGTTTGTACCACATACACAATCATGTTACATGATTATTTTTAATCTGTTAAAAAAAGGACGCGCGAGTGTCGCCGGTCGCGTTTAGTCCGTCAATAGTCTGTGAGTCGAATAGACTTGTTGGTGCCGCGCGTGTCGGATAAATGGCGGCAAGCACCTGCCGACGCTCGTATTGTGGTATTGCACGGGGATGTGCTGTGATATCAACGCATCGCAGATAAAAACAATGCCATTTGATCGCCTGCTGCTGAAAAACGTCATCATCATAGAATGCAGTCGTAAATAATAAGAATTTAATGAGTTTTGTCACTATAAAATCATTTTGTGCCGAACGTTTAAATCATTTTATAGGGCTGTAAACATTTTTGTTCTTAGACGCTCTGTGGTTAATATCTCTAATAAAGAAATAAATATCTCGTGTTAGCTTATATTTGGAATATGTATATAAATTATTAAGAAAACTTAAACTCAATATGACAGTTATGTGTTAAAAATACTATTTTTTTTTCTATCGCTTAAAGCATTCATATTAAACATACTTGCCTATTTTTTATTTACGTTCAAGTAAAAAAAAGAAACCTATAAATGTTAAACTTGTTAGTTGTTACTTATAAGCTATTGTTTTTTTAAACCCAGGATTTTAGTCACCAATTTCATTTTTCAGTGGATGTACTTTGAACTTTCGTATTGTAGAATGTACAAGAAATAAAAATATATATATTCTGTTAGTGTTTCATTCCTTTATCTTACCATAATACAGTTTTTTTTACATGAGAGTAAATCACAATATATGTACACGTGTTTAAAGTTAGCTTACTGAAAATTCGTTAAATGTTATATATTATTAATAATAATATGACCGGTTGGTTAAAAAGCCTTTTGGGATTCATATACAGCTCTTTACACGTTGGATGTTTTGGTATAGTAAATTATTGTAATATATCTCAAGTATAAATTTAAAAAAAAGTTTATTCATGTTTAGAACATAAAAGAAGTAGCATTATGGTGAAGAAAAACACTTACTTTATATTAGTACACTATTATTGAAGTAAAAAAATATTTCCTGGAAATAGGTTTCAATTATAAAAAAAACGTAAAAATCCCAATACTACAAAAAAAACAGCACTTGGCAGCGGTGGGATTCGAACCCACGCCTCCGAAGAGACTGGTGCCTTAAACCAGCGCCTTAGACCGCTCGGCCACGCTACCGTCGAGGTGGTGGTTGAAATTATAAATTGTATTCTTAAAATATTTTATAAGAAACATCTACTTATAATACACAAATTCATTCAGAGGAATAATATAAACTATTTAAAATCGGCTTGTGCTTCAAAAATTTCAATATATTTATTCATTATTCTCATGTATAAATTGCATCTAGCTCAACCAACCTAATACGTACTGTAATTTTAAATCTATTTGAAAGCATTTTATTATATTTGTTAAATAAACTATTACTTACTTAATATATTAAAGTTTGTTCGTATATTAACTACGTTATATTAGTCAAACAATTTTTTTATTTTCTGTTATAATTATACAGTACGAATAATTATATAGAAATTATACTCAAATAAATCTATTATAATTTCCAATCAATATTTACTATCCGCAGAGGACATTCAATTTCAATAAAATTAAAAATTATTGTTTTATACAAACGGTATCGATTTATATTCTATTTTAATATCATCAATCGGATAACGGCAATTGAATTGATCGTACATTAAAAATAAAAATTTCATATTTTTTTATATTATGCATTCTATTGATATTTTTATGACAAAAAGGAAGTTTTTTTAATCAAATATTTTGACAATTCATGATTAGTTGCATGGTGTTACCATTAATAAAAAAACATAAAGCTGAATACATTACTATTTCGTGCAAATGTCATGCATTTGACACCGACTCTACCTTTTAAACATCCTAATTGCCGAATGCTTAATAAACATTTTTCTGCAGATATTTTAATATACAGTTTTTATTTTTATAATAAACCTCTTTATAGTACTTATAGTATCTTTATATAGAGTCAGCAATTTTAAAATGGCTTTAAGTATGTTATTATTTGTGCAAGTGACATATATATTTTTTATTAATACAACAATTCTCAGCCTGTAATCCAATACATACAGCCAAACTGTCATGTAAGTGACAAGACGCTTAATTTACTTAAGTTTTATGTAACAAAAGTTACTGCTTCACAAATTTCTTTGAAGTGATGCAACTGTTTAAAATTTCATAGAAATGCGCTAAGGTGCTATTTACAAGCGCAATACGTGACTGACTTTAGTATGTTAAACAGCGAAATTTTGACAAATTATGCAATAAAATTATTTGAGAAAATCAATTTATATGTAAGTCACTACATTTTATTGTTATCTCAAAACAAAATCAAAATTTCGCAATTGCTGCATACATTATTGGAGTACTAAATACTTCGTGACTGAACATTTGTAACAATTTGCTGATATTAATTTTAAATTAGTATAATCGTAAATCATTTAAGGTAATTAATTATTTCTGTTATCTTTAAAAAACAAATTGTATTCCAAGTCTTTGAACAAAAATATATTTTCAAAAACAGGTTTTTCAGAAACGAAATGGTTTTCGTAATTTAAAAACAGCGCCATCTAGCGGTATATAGTACCGATATTGTGTAACTAGTACGACTATAATTTAGCTAATCATGACTTCTCAAGTTAATATGCTTTTTTATTAGTAGGGCGGCGAGTTTCAATTCAATGTTATATAGAGGAAATCGCCTGGAGTCTGACCCGTTATAGACTTTATGATCCCGCTCTAAATACATCATTCCTACCGTTTCTGTTACCAATTCTGCAACAAAGTTTTCTTCTTCTATACGTATTTTTTATATTTTTTATAAGTCATTCCTGTATTAACATTCATTACAATCAATTGTAAATTAAAATAAACCTGTTATCATATAAAATTTGCTGATAACAAGACTGTTTTTATTACCATCAAAGATGTAGAGAAAAATCACTCTTAACTCAAAGTTCATAAGGTTTAGAATCGTTTGGTATAATCTGGGATGAAGTCTTAAAAGATTGTGATTGCATGCATTGTAAGTTAATTTGAACTTTGTATTTTACCCACTTCGGTGGCACTTCGTTGTAATTATTAACAATACATGATTATTGTGTTTTTTTTACTGTGAGCTGCGAGGTTAATTCTATAATTGTATTTTTGTATTTATAGAACTTTTTAAATGTATGGGAACGCGTACACGAATACGAATAATACATAGCTAATAATTACATCTTTCATTTTTTGTTGATATAAATATTAATTCTATTATGTTTTTAATAAGCTTTTTAATTATATAATTTAAAAAGCTAGTTGAAATGTAATTTAAATAAAATTATTTATAAATTCTACAATTTCAATTTAAGTTGCAACGGCCCATTAGCTCAGTTGGTTAGAGCGTCGTGCTAATAACGCGAAGGTCGCGGGTTCGATCCCCTCATGGGCCACTTTCTTTTTTTCTTTTTTTTATACTACCTCTCTTGTAAATAACACTTATTTGAATACAAATTAAGTAATCAGAATAACAAAAACTCATTAATAAGTCGATATTTATTTGGAAATATAAGTCCATACGTGTATATAAAAATCTCAAATACCAATATTTCATATAAAAATATTAAATCCAACCACATTATAACGATCCAAAGCCTCTTTTAAGTATAAAAATAATTGCACAACCGGCCGGTCAGTATAATATTTACAATATTATTTTCAATTGCCACTATACACATAATAGTTATAACTACAATTATACAATATATACTTATTACGATAAATTATACATAATAAGAAAATAAAATAAACTGCTTAATACATAGAAGAATAAATTAAAGCGGAACTAAGATTTTTACATTCTTATAATTTTAGAGAGCTTTGGAAAAATGTTAATAAAAAAACATTTCCTTCTATAAAATAAAATTTTACAAATTTCTAATAAAAAAGATTATGAGGTAAACATCGGTGGCACTTATCCAATTAATTATATTCATTGCTACTTCACTACGTAGAAATTTATACAAAACTTATTTTCTTAAAAAGTTTTTATATCAATCATATTTTTAATTTTGGCTGTATACAGTAAACACTAACACATTAGGAGCATTCCACTGACTGAACGTAGGAATCTTCTAGATTTGTTATAGAGGAGGCAGAAGCTCGACCGTCGCGGCCAGTTACTATTGATATTACACTTCTATGTTCCGAGTCACTGTCGCCGCTTAAAATGATATTCGTTTCACCAAGAAAACCCGAATCTATTTGCTCCTGTCTATTTTGGCTCTCAAATTCATTCAAAACTATTCCTTGGAAAGTTTTGCTCGGATCTTCAAAGTTCCTGAAGAATACCGAATCAGTTTCTACACTCTCCCCGCCTGATTCACTATGTCCATCGCAGAGTGACTCCAATTCGTCTGTGTCCGTATCTATGTGTAAATTGGTGATTTTATTCTTTGCTATAACTTCAGGGGGTATCAACTTAGGTTTGAGATGCATTAAATATCTCGCCCTTCGTTTCGATTCGTTTGAATCTGTACTCAGATATCCTGAATCTTCGGTGCGACAGAATTTCTTTAGATCTACTCTTCTCGGTCTGGTTCTTGATGATCTTCTGCCGGAGCGTCTAGCGTTTAGATTATCGTTTCTCGAGTAAGGTGGAAATCTGTCTCTTTCTTCCGATGATCGATACCGGTCACTAGGCGGACTATTCCTGGGTGTACTGCCTTTAGAATGTGATTCTGATCCTCTATTCTTCGGCGGTACTGGAGGTTTGGACTCTTTGCCATCTAAACTTCTCGGTTGCTCTAAATTCTTCATATACGCGGCTAATTCTTGAGTTCCATATGGAACGCTTCCTCGTCTTTCATAAAACGGACGTACGTCACTTTGATTCGTCTTATTTTTCGCTTCATATATCTGTCTCAGGCTTCCTATTTTCCTTGTGAAGGCTGCTTCTGGTGGGCTTTTCTCTTTCTGGCAGGCAGGTGCGGGAAGTTTATGTTTAAAACTACCGCCGGATTTTAGAAGGATTTTCTCCACACATTTTTTAGTAGTCGTTTCTTCGATTATTCGTTTAGGTTTCCTATCTAATGTGTCTGGATCGAAGTCTTCATTGTCTTTTCGTCTATTTTCCACCGGGGACCCACGTACTTGTATCGTTAAGGGTCCCAATTGTTCGACATTATTGTAAATGGGTTCGGTAGGACCGTTAATGAAAATGTCATTTGTACTAGTTTTAGTTTCAAAACTAACTATTTGAGGAGACACGTCACTATTAGGTGCTACTTTAAAATCTCTCCAACTTCTAGTGAGTCTGTCGCGTTTCATTGAAGTATTTTTTATAATGGACATATTCCTTTGAGATTCGGGTGAGTGATCCAATGAGAATCTCCTCTTTTTCGATAATCGTCTCTCTAAACTGTCACATTCAACTGATTTCTCATTTTCGAGATCCTTTTTGAGATTGTCGGAAAGTAAGTTGTCATCGCTAAAGTAATGGGGTTCTGCTGTAACAGGAATGACTAATTTTGGTCCCGTCATTGGTGATTTGTTTGGTGAAATCGGTTCAATACGTTTACACTTATTGAGTTCACGTATTACAGCTTCCATTTTCTTTTTGACTTCTGGCAAGACGGGTTCAACGTCCGCAGTAATATTTACTTCGACCACATTCATCGGTGGCGGAGGAGGGGGAGGAAGCTTCTTCCTCACTCTCCGCGTGCCGTAATTCGGTTGACTTTTTATTTCCGAAGTCTTCGCACTTATTGGTGTAACTACAGATTTATCATTTATCTCTTTGTGTGTGACGTTCAAATTATTATTTTCCTCTCTCTTCGCTATATTAACGTTTTCGTTCACTGCAGTTATATTTCTTAAATATTCTTTAACTATAGTTTCAGTTATTTTTATAGTTTCTGAATCTACGTTTCTTGATACTTCTATTGGACTGTTCGGAGTTCGTACTTCTTCTTTACCTTTCGGTTCTATCACTCTTGGTGTTCCACTTACTTTTGCGACTGATTTCACCGGTCGTATAAGTGTAGGTGACGGTGAAGGGGCTTCGTCCAGCCATTTCTGAACAATCCTCTGTTTGTAGTCATCACTGACACAGGTTTTACAGGAATTAGATCTTATCAGATTCGTAGCTTTATGGCTTTTACCATTATTATCACAACCCGGACAGCCACCGCAATGTATGGATCTTCGACTGTTTTCACGTTTTAAGCTTATCGCGCTGAATCTTCGTCCTCGCCTTGCGCAATGTATGTCCCATCCCAAATCGATAGTATGATATAACTCTTCTTCAGGTATATCAGATAGTATCGGTATAAATCTCTTCGAAGTCATCTTTTCCTTAGCAACTGACATGACTTCCCTCAATTTGCACAGAAAGTCGATAGCAGCTGGCGGAGGATTCTGTTAAAAGACAAAACACTTATTTATTACTTTTTTACTATACAATATTGACGAATAATTATAATATACGTACCTTAAGATGTTCTACTTCGAAGAAAACTGGGTTGAAGTATAACTTTTTCCGTATTATCGGTTCACCAGTCGATTGTGGTGGTGCGAGCTCTGGCACATTATTATCCATACTGCAATGTAGTATCGATAGATCTGAATGCGGTGCCTTTTCCAATTCTGGTGAGGCAGAACGTCTTTGTAATCTTTCGTTTAGACGTTCGGGAGTCGAAGTCGCTCGTATTGTTGGTCTTGATGGTTTCTTCCTCCTTGAATGAACCACCGCGGATACTACGTTTGAATTTTGACTCTGGAAATATGATAATATGTAAGAATTGTGTATATAAAAGAATATTATATATAGTTAACAGTTGGCAGACCCTGGCTAAAGCTGGAAAATTGCCAGGAAGAAGAAGAAAATTATATATAGTTAAATAAATTACCATTTTCTGAGTATTGATTGACGAAGAATCAAATGTGTCCTCAGTTCTTTCGCTGACGTCAGACAGACCAGCCTCACTATCCAAGTTCATTAATGGATTATTTTTAATTCTCTACAAAAAAATCTGCCTTTAATACACACATAAAACATAATAAATATATAAATTTCTTATAACATACCATATTATTAATGCTTATCCTTGAATCTATAGTAGAGGCGTTGTCAGTGGATAATGTGTGATTCAATTCAGGATCTTTGGTCTTTTTTCTTTGTTTTTGTTTGTAATGAATGTAGAATATGATTCCAGTAGCGTACACGAACACCAACATGAGCACACATACTCCTATAGCGAGTGATTCTAACACGCTTAGACCTGGACTTTGTACCGCAGGTTCTGTGGTTACAGTTTCACCAGCGTGGAATGGTATGGATCTTACATCTGGATAGATATAAATAATACTTTAAATTGCAGAGCTATTACAGGGTTAATAAATTTCACCTTAAAAGACTACGTGAAAAACTGCAGAGCGATCTTCAAAACTTCACCTTATAAATGTATAAAAATATAATGTCTCTTTTATATAAAACAATTTGGAATATATTTATTATATTCTATTTAATTTCGTCACTTATAATATAAATCGTGCTCTTATAACACTGAATGTTGCTTAAATACTTCTATAATTGCATCGTTAAAATTAAAACAATGTTGAAATAAACTTTGACTAAAATTCATATATACATATATACCTCTAAATCTACACGTTTGTGGTTACAGGGTGAAATCTTTTACTTTTCTATGAATAGCTTCTTCTATAATCTTTGATAAATACTTATTTATTACAATGCTTTGAGTATCTTGTGAGTAATATACAGATTTTTTACCTAATACAGTGTTATGAGTCACACCAGCTACTCTGAAGGCTGCGCAGGATGTAGCCAGATGATTTGGTTTCGGTGCAGAACAAAGTACGTGAGCAGCGACCAGCCTGCCTTCGAGACGGCTGTGTAGTGCTGGAGAACCACGCCACTTGAATAAAAATAAAATATATATATTAATAAAAAAATGATAAAAAAGTTTTTATTAAAAAAGTATATACATGGTGACTGGTGAATTTCTATCGATACTTGAGGACGTGATATTTAGCGATCATATATGACAAAATAAAAATTAATATAACATAAATATTAATAAACTTCTAAGTATAGTTAACCAAAAGTTATGTAATTAATTACGCATCGTGTGAACACCCTACAGATTAGGTATACACACACACACACACGCGTGCGGCGGCGTGGTGTTGTATCAGCACGCCGCCGCACGCGTCTACACTTGGACCACTTGGAACGTGTCCAGACTTTATTTACTTATACGGAAATTTTATCAAAAATTAAGTACCTATTTTTTTTACATAATTCGAATGAGAATCATGTACCGAGTATTCTCCTTAAATATTGATAGTAATTCACCAGTCACTCTGTATATAACTATACGCATAGATAATCTTGTTCTATGTTTTGTTTCATCATCATCATCATCATCAGCCAGAAGACTGCAGGGCATAGGCCTCCCCCAAGGATCTCCACGACGACCGGTCTTGTGCTACCCGCATCCAGCGGATTCCCGCGACCTTCACCAGGTCGTCGGACCACCTTGTTGGGGGCCTACCCACGCTGCGTCTTCCGGCTCGTGGTTGCCACTCAAGAACCCGTTGGCCCCATCGGGCATCGGTTCTGCGAGCGATGTGCCCTGCCCACTGCCACTTAAGTTCTGCAATTCTTCGGGCTATGTCGGTGACTCCCGTTCTTCTGCGGATCACCTCATTCCTGATTTGATCACGCAGTGAAACTCCGAGCATAGCCCTCTCCATTGCCCTTTGAGTGACCTTGAGCTTTCTGATAAGGCCCATCGTGAGCGGCCACGTCTCAGTGCCGTATGTTAGCACTGGCAACACACACTGGTCGAAGACTTTTGTCTTGAGACACTGCGGTATTCTGGACGAGAAGATTCTACGTAGCTTCCCGAACGCAGCCCAGCCGAGTTGGATTCGACGATTGACCTCTTTCTCGAAGTTGGACTTACCTAACTGGACCGTTTGTCCCAGGTATACGTAGCTGTCAACAACTTCGAGCGTAGAGCCTCCGATCTTAATAGGAGTCGGTACAACATGGACATTAGACATGATTTTCGTCTTCTCCATGTTCATCTTAAGACCAACTCGTTCGGAGGCTCTATTGAGATCATCGAGCATTGTACTAATTGTATTGTATGTTTTGTTTATATCATATTAATAAAAGTGTAACGTTATGAGATCTAAGACTATTACGAGTATTCATTTAAATGAATATTTCGGATGTATTATGCGTATTTTATTATTTTAAACTACATATTCCCAGCGTTTCGATTACTTTGTTGCAACCGTGATCACGGGCAGCCGAGATGTTTTTAGCAACCGAATAGTCGGGAGTTTGAACTTTGCCATATTAGTTCAGATTTTCATTTTAATATCAGTAACGGAAAAAGTAATAGAACAAGTAATACTTAATGATGTATAATATTTTCACGTGTACACATTTAAATGAAACTAAGATTTTTTAATACTAAGCGTTTTTTATTATTTCGTATCTACATGATGAAAGTCACATCTTGTTTGTCAGTGATCATGGTTGAAGCAAAGTAATCGATACCTCGGGATCATGTGAATATAAAATAATAAAAAAAGCATAGTACCCGAAAAACGTTGATTTAAATGGCTAATACTTATACATTTTTTATGTAGTCACAAATTTAAAGACTTCAATTTTAATACCGCTTTCGTAGTATTCTATTTCATGATTAAGGTTAATTCTTTAAGCTATTCCTTGAAATTATTTATAAACAAAGTTGCATAATTCCAAGACGTTTTTTAAGGAACGTTCTTAACAGACGTATCTCGTACAAGGTGTTGGCGTGTATAAATGTAAACGCTAAATATTTGGACATATCAAACAAATTGTTTCTTTGACGCCCCCTTATCTCCGAATCTCGGTTCGGGTCGCAACGCCGACATATAACTTCCTATTGAACAGTTAAATTAGGTGATAATATCTGAATTAATAACATACTTTGGATGTATGCATTAAAATAACTTGGATATATATTAAAAGGTTTACAATTTGTGTATAAATTGATAGTTTTAAAGCTCTAATTCATTAGTATGTACATCGTGGTGAAATTTCTCTTAGATTGGGATGTACTAGTCTAGACTAGACATGAAGAGACAGCACAAATATTACGTGTACTTCAGATAATTGGCGATACGCCAAAAATAAGACCAACTAGATGACGATTTCTTATTTAGTTTCTATTCTAATGATTTTAAATAGTTTTACTAATTATAAGAAGATCATAGCCACTAGCTTTTGTTCTAGAGTCGTCTGCAGATTTAGTTACTTATAATAAATATACACAAACAAAGAATTGGCATAAATATGTAGTTGGATTTAGTCTTCCAAGTGTAATAACTAATAATATAAAAAAATATGATTAATTTGATATTCAGACTTAAAATATAAAATTATTTCACACTTATAGCTTAGATTTTAGATTATTATAAATTAGATTTCATATAGAGAAGATATTTTCCCAAAGAGGGTTGATGTCAGGCAGGTGGCCGGTCGTAAAAATAAATAGCCAAAACTATTCACAACATGTAAGGCAGACCCTGGCCATAGCTGGGAAAATTGCCAGGTAGAAGAAGAAGAAGATTTCATATAGAGAAGGAATATATTGCATTTTAAATAATATTAAATTATATTATGACATAAAATCGTCAACAGGTCTGTTCGAATGTTCTCGAATATTTAATATTTATATAAGTGAGAATTAATAGCTTCCAAAAACAGAACAATAACAATAAATTATTAATGTTTACATATATATTATAATATTTATTAAGTACTTAATTAATAAAGATTGTTTTAAGTGTGTTTTAATAACCCGACTCAGCGGTACGGACGATTTGGTGCCGTTAAATAATATAATTAAAAATTTATTTATATGTGCTATATAATAAAAAGATAATATGTTGACAATTTTCCTTAAACTTTTATGAATAAAGATATTTATATAGTAACATTGTCTATACGAATTCATGTTAAAATTTCCTTTATCAATAATAAGTCTACAAATAAAATGTGTACATCAAAATCGGACCACCAAAATATGCTTTTATTTTGAGTAGCGTTTATCTCATCATTATGTTTTATCAAAACTGTAACATTCGCGATCGGAGATAAAGATTTTACGATTCTACCGAAAACCATTCTATATTAAGATGTACATTGATATATAATACTGGAAATTACGCAAAAATAAGTACGTAGTAAATTTTTAATAAGAGATCATTTTATATTTGTCATAATTTACCCTTTATTATATTGAAACAATGAAGATTTTACTTAGGAATCATTTCAATTTTCTTGACATATCCAGTTAAACAAGATCTTTGTCAAAATCGGTTAGGTTTACTTAAGACGTGTGTTTGTTTTTAAGTTACAATTCCAGAATAACTTAATTGACTATTCACCTGATAAGGCATCAATAAATATATGGAAAAAGTGCCTTATTTTTATAATAACTGACTTTGTTCATGATATAAAGAAAATAACGCTTTTTTAATAAACAACCTGGGTGGTAGTTCAATAAGTATTAATATTAAATTGATACAATGAGGATAATTTTATACAGAGACTAATTTTTATGAGTCACTAAAAAAATTTGGACGTCATTTAAAACTTATGAGAAACTGATTTTTAAATAGAGTTGAAAATATTCTTTTCTATGTCACTGTTTTGGTTTCAACATGAGAATTAAGAAAGAATATATGCTTATACCTATAATCACCTTTTGAGGGTCACTCTAACCCGAAGTCTGGTTTTTGACAACAAGATAAAGTAAATTGTTTTATATTAACAAATAATTACATTTAATAGACGTCAGGGAAAGTAATATCATATTTGATCGTATTCAAAAAAAACAAAACACGGTGTTTGAATGATAAATCATGCTCGGTTTTTAAACTATTGAGGATTTAGGATATGATATATTTTTCTATTTAACGTAAAACTTTCGACAATGATAAGTATCCTGACATTTTCACAAGATATTATAAGAATCTTCTTGAAACATCTCATTGCTTGTATGTAATACGTATAAAAACTAACTTCACCTACTACTACGAGTTTTCGACTGCAAACTAAATCAATACAGTTACCAGTTTTCATTCTCACGCCGACATTAATATTACCATTCATATATCAAAATAAAAATAAGCTATTTAGTTGCAAATCTGTTGTAGGGGTAATAAAATGTTGATAATTACCATTGACATATACTAATGGACATGCCTTAGAGATGAGAATTGTGGCACTCCGAAAGAAAGAAAGGAAACGAAGTTTCGGTCTATCTTTATCTTTCACAAATTTAACTCATTACTCGAATATACAAGAATCATCTGTGAGGAAAGAGATAGTGCTAGACCGAAAGCATAGGCCATCTCTCTCACTCTTTTGAAACCAAAAAATTACTGCAGATTATACGCGTACAGCATGTCCATTAGTTAAGTCGATGGTGATTATAATGTCCTTACTTGTAAGTAAGTGCTGCCCTCGTCTCTGTAAAGACCGAACGGCACGTCGTTGTCAATCAGATCCCGGAGCGTCACCCAACCAGTTGGAGACAGGTACTGAGCGCTTGTTACAGCACAGATAGCTTCTTCGACATCTAAACATAATGATAATTTTCTTAAAAAATATTATATATATTATTAGGTATATCTTATAAATAATTGCAATTAAATGTATTTTGGTATATTACTATATAATTATAAGATAGATTTTGAGTCTGCTAAATTGTGTTATACATAAAGAAATAAAATTATGATTCATGCATATAAATTTCAAGATAGTTAATATAAGTAATAAAATATTATTTATAAATTCAACAGTCAAGTTAAATCCGATATGGTCTAGTGGCTAGGATACCTGGCTCTCACCCAGGAGGCTCGGGTTCGATTCCCGGTATCGGAAATCCTTTTTTGCATTTTTATATATTTTTAAAATATAAATTTATATATTTATAATATTTATTTTTAAACCAATATATATTTTTTTAATTCATTCAAAGTTTCATTTGAAAAGACAATACTCATTTAAAATGTCGTTTAAGTCACCTGTAAATATAATTTCTTTAGACGGATAAATAATCTGTCCTTTCAAGGGAAGAAACACAAACGGTATCTGAGGTTTGTTTGCGCCCCTTCCGAAGCTGGCCATCGGGCATTCTGTAACGCAAAAATACATCAATAACTCATTGAACCATTAAATCAAAACAAACAGTTATAACAAGCCATTGTCTTCTAATAGTTTAGAGGAAGTTATTACATACAATAACATACAAGCATCTATTTTAAGTTCAACATTCATTCGACCCCACATTGTAATGTCACACTCGTATCCTCATGTATAATCAATGATCTCATTTGACAAGCACTTTCCACTTTCTTTTTTATTTAGTATATAATTATATTACATGTAACTACTTATATATGTGTATATTAAAACTTTACATCTTTATATATCTTTTGCATTTAACTTTCTTTCTTATCTTATCTTTATTAAATGTCAAAGAAGTTAAGTATTTAATCAAGTTATACCTAAATGAAAAAAATGTTATGTATTGACTGTAAGAATATATTTTTAATGAAAATCATCTTAAAATGTGAGAAACTTCTAAAAGACGATTATAAATTGCAATCATATTAAATTCAAGACTTATAAGAATCATTTTTCTATTAGAAATAATTCTCACGCTGATTTTAATGACTTAACAACAGTTTGATAGTGTATTATAAAGACGTAATGATAACTCAATAATATAAAGATTATAAGAAGATGAATATTTAAAAAATAATTTAATTTCATACTCAGTTATATAACTGAATTAACAACAATATTTTTAATAAATTTGGATTAAGTAGATATTAAATTTGTTACGAATTATTTAAAGAGGTAAATTATTCCTTTCGAAATATTTTCAAATTAATTTTTTTCTCAATTTTCGTAAACCCAAAATGATCAATTTAACTCTAATTCAACGTTTTTATATGTACTACAAGGGAAAGAAAATATTTTTATGGTAATTCGATTACATTTCAAATATTTTCGACGGAATTTTCTAGAATATGATAATATTTGATTTACCATCAATATGATTGACACATGTCCTCTGATCTTCCCTAAAAGTTGGTGTTTCACGTCGACATTGACACACGCAGCTATTGCCGCTACCCAAAGACGCTAAGGCGGTACCACGAGAAACTTCCATGCATCTAGTTAAACCACAATGAGGACCTTAAAACACAAAGAAAATATATTAAATCTTGAAAGAATTTCGTAAAAATCATCGTAAATGATAATCTTTATATGAACTATGTATATAAACTGTTTAAAAAATTTGTTTTCAAATGTTATACTGAACTGGTAATTTCTTAATAGAAGTATTTTCTGTTTCACTATGTATTTATTTTGAATTATTTTTTTAAACACTTGGCTAACTTTTTATAACGATCATAATAATATGTGAGAATATTCAGCTTACCAGCCAAAGAAAAAATATCTCCATTCGCGAATCGTGTGACGTTGGCTAACGCCATCTCTCCTTCAAAAGTTAAAGCGTTCGTTATAGTGAACATAAGAAGAAGTAGTATCGCCATCTCTCGGTAGTTGTAGAAAACACTTTAGAAAGCAGTTGACTTTTTAGTGTTAACCATGTTCTCTAGATGTCACTTCTCAACAAGTTAAATATTTTAGGATGATTTCTGAATCCATGTTCAATAATTCAAATTAGTTTTAATTATCATTGCTTAATATGATCATTGTTGTAACTTGTGTATTGATTCACCGACAAAAGCACTTCCTTTACCTGAAACAGGTTTTTTAAAAATTATTATTTAATAAAGAGAAACCAACGAACACGCAAATTCTGATTCACGACTTAATAATCTGTAAAGTTTGAAAAAATTTATTCTTAATTTTATTATGTTATTTAATTATTCAAAATTACAATTTAGTAAAATAAAATCACATTAATATTCTCATATATGTATTTTGAATCGAATGAAAGTCATAAGTAGATAATTGCATTAAATTAATTATTATTTAAATTTACCTACCATTTATGTTAATCAATATCCTATAGAAACTGACTTCATTATCTTAATAATAGTTATGCATTCGCATATCTTTCCGTTTCACAAAATATCAATTATTCTTAAAATTCCATCCGTTATATTTATATATTTATTAGATATAATATAAGTATGAATTTATGATTTAATTTTTTATTTCAATTCTTACTTAATATTAATAATAAACACAGGGCGCGATCCTGGCCCGGGCAAGTACCAATGTGATTTTTCGGAGTCATATGTACTTTCAAAGAGTATTTAGACATCACTGATTAATGCTGATTCCGAAAGAGCGTTGATGTTAGGCAGGCGGACGGCCGTAAAAACAAATAGCCAAAACTTCACAACGTGTAAGGCAGACCCTGGCTAAACCTGGGAAATTGCCAGGTAGAAGAAGAAGATGAATAATAAATACTTTTAATCTTAATAATTGTTCAGAAACGTATTTAAATTCGAAACAAACATTGTTTCTACAAATCTATTAATAAACCGATGTCATTACTGTCACTTCTTTGACAGACGGGTTTTGTTAACAATAAGTATGTTTATAACCTTTTTAATAAAACATAAGGCAATTTAAGAATGGATCGATTATAGATACATTCATCGTTTATTGTGAATATTTTAAACTAAAGGTTTATCTATAATCTTTGTTGACATTAATGTTTCGCCAGAGGTCGCTACTAGCTATTGTGTTGTCAAAATTCACACATAATTCACGTGGACATAAAAGTTGACAAATTGTTTTGTGTTTTTTATAAATTATCTGACCATCTGATACTGTTGAAGTTTAAGAGATGTTCTTTATAGAACTTAAGTCATCAGGTAATGATTCACCATTACTCTATTTTATTTGTTTTAATATTTATTACGTATTTATGTTTTGTTTTAGATAAAATTAAATATATGCATCCACCATTATTTTCACTGACACGGCTGATTAAATAAATAAAACAAAAATTACGTCTATCTTAAAATTACAGATATACGAAAACGAATGTATTTTTATAAGAAGTAGAACTTTTAGTGTTTCACACGTTTTAGGTCGTATTAATACGGGTCAAAGGTCACGTGCTACAACATAAACGATTTTGGATTCCGAGTCGGATACACAGTTATAATGGCCATTAAACTTTAATAGTAGATCACGGGTTCAGTTGAGATACGACGAGATTGAAAATTAATATGAGATGAAAATATCGATTTTAAAAACGACTTTCTGTTTTGTATATTATAAGATGTTATCGGAAGCATAAACATATTACGCGTTTCGATAAAACTTTGAAAAGTATATTTAATTATTACTTAGATTTCGTATTTAGTCGTAAATATTTATTTTCTACTAGTTTCGGATTAATCTAAATGTAAGTAAATCAAAAAAATAATTATCGATTGCCACTTTTATAATTTTACAAAATCATTGAATCAGAAACTTTCTCGAGTGAAACCATTACGAAAAATATACATATATATAAATGAATTGATATGTAACATTATGACCAAACTTGACCTAAATATTTATGGTTAATGCACGCCATCTAGCGGGTGAATCTATAGTAATATAGACAGCAGATAAATTTATAGTTCCGTTACAAAATATATTACCATTTGGTTATATATATGAGTTTAGTCCCAAAAAGAATATGGCGGAGTTTGTAAATTATTGTTTTATTCAAATTAATACGCATTTATCTGTCAATATTATTATTTCTTCTGTCAATTCGTAAGCGGTATTCTTATGTTTAACATATTATAATGGCTGGCATCTGTAAGAGTAGCGAAATTAATATAAATGATCACTAAATAAAAACTGTCTTTGGACTTTACTCATGTTTTATTTACGTATATGATATTTTTATATTATAAAGTGTTTATTCTAAATACTTTCTCTGAAGTTACGTTCGGAAATTCTTTGTAACGATGTAAGTTACTACAAATTTTATTATCATTGGTTTATCTAAATAAGGTTATTGAAAAGAGGTTCTTATTGCAATTTCATTTATAACGAGTACACATATATGTAATATATAATTATTACATTACAATAGACTTATATATTTACTAATTTAAATTTAAACGAACATAGTTTTTACAGTTCAGAAACTAGATTGAGTTTTATTAATTGTGAAATACTCTTTGAATCAAGAGATTCATTTAATACCGTAACTTATGAGAATTTATAATGTCCCTCTTTCGATATAACGGATCAAGTTTTTTTGGAAAATCGATAATAATATTATTTCATCTTTATCTCTGAGTCGTTAATTGACTAAGATAAAATAGTATAATTTTTGTCGTATAGACATTTTTTTATACCATAAACATAAAATTAAGAGTAATTTGATTCTGAAGTAAAATAAGATCAATTGAACTAATTTTAATTAAACTTTTTTTAATAGTTAATAATAAAATGAATTTACTGATATTTAAAATAACATTAATAACACATTGTTTGCATACAACAAAACCATAGACAATACACTTTTCTCTAATTGCGTCTAAAAAATATCTATAATAATTTATTGTCCATTTATTCTATACAAAAGGAGTTTCTTAGAAGCGCACAAAAGTGGAAGAATCGCAAATAACAAGCTTTTGTGAATGTCTGTTATTTCGTTCCCGCTAGTCGGTACGCTCCTTTCATTATATTACGAAACTATGTAAGGATTTAATACGTTTTAATGAGCTGATATGAAATAATACGATTACAGTATCATACATAGTGTTTAGATACAGTTCAACTTACTATGAATAACGGTTATCATCTTCACTATTGAGTTATTATAAATTTAATGAGATCTAAGAATTTGGAGATAACTCATTTAAATGAAACTAATATTTTCGGATTTACTACGCGACTTTATTTTTGACTATAAACTACATACTCCCGACGTTTCGGTTACTTTACAGCAAATGTGACATCTCGTCTGTCCGTGATCACGGTTGCTGTAAAGTAACCGAAACGTCGGGAGTATGTAGTTTATAGTCAAAAATAAATCGCGTAGTGAACCCGAAAATATTAATTTCATTTATTATAAAGTTGTTTAACCAATCAAATCTTTGTCATCCTAAAACTTGCCAATAGTATTTTCACAGATACATTCTGATATCTTTCTATATAATTAACATAAAAAGTCAAAGAAACTTCGAGAATTCGTATCATAAAATCCGTAATATGGTATTTAGTTTTTTTTAGTTTTTTGACACATTAATAACTGATACATCTTTTAGTATGGCTTTCCGTTCATCGTGATATAAACGTCATCGTAAAATATAATTATAATACATATATATATATTTTAAATAACCGGCAGACGGATAGAGCACAAACAACTTTCGAAGATACGTGAAATATGATGTTAAAAACCACAAGTTAGCTGTTTAACGCGACTATGTTCGATATTTTTTGATTTTTTATTTAATTTCTGTCCATAATCTGTATATTGGATTGTTTTGAAAATTTAACTAAACAAACAGGCTGAATAACACAACGCAATGTCTAGGATATAAAAATAAATATAAATTAAGTTTTGACGTTTCAAACGGAGATTTAAACCATAATTTGTTCGTATTTTTCATTTTTTTTGCTCTTAACGAACGAAGCTTTAATAAGGATCATAAAGTTATTAATATTCTTGATTTCTCTATTTATATTTTTTATATTAAATGAATATTTTATATCTAATGACGTAATGATGAGTTTTTATTGAAAAATACGCCGCTGGCAACGTTATAACTCATGTAAGCGCCTCGGGAATTTTATCGATTCATTTTTCTTTTACCGCTTGGTAAATAAATTATTTAATACACTGAAGTCATAACAAAATGTAATTAATTTAATGTTAAAAGTAATTAATTTTCATCTAAACTTATAAAAGCAAAGAAAGTTATGAAATAAAACGATAAAACAATATTTTTCCTTGTCATCGCTATTATTTTAATACGTAACAGAACACAATCTTTAGAAGGCGTAAGTATATATTAGATATCAAAATTATATTGCATTTCTATTTACTTTTTCCTACAATAACAGATAATTCAATCTAATTTATTCTAAAATAAGGTCCTATATGCAGTAAGAATAGTCACGTCTTGTATTGACTAATCTGTGGTAATACGTGTTTCTATTTTGCTCTATATTTTTAACCTCGAATCGCTGTCGTTTTTGTTTAAATCGGATATACATTATATTTTCAATGACATTTCGATTTCAGGCGGGAAAATAATTTTAATAGAAACAATTGACATAAATAATCTTCAAGATTGTTTGTATTTATTATACCGTTATATATATATAGTTATAAAATAACTTTCAGTCCATTCACGTATTTATGTAGGGAAACGTTTTTTATTTAATTTTTGTTATGAATTTTATTTTTGTTATGGTAACTCCGCATTCCTTGCATATTTTTGTGGCAACCCTAAAAGTTAATTAGAACACATAAAAAAGCCTCTCAACTTTTGATTAATTTATGGAAATCTTGAATTTATTGTAAACGATTTGAATATTTCTCTTTTGAATTAAT